ACACATTCAATCAAGATGACTTTAAATAAGAAAATCAGTATCACATTATCACAGTGCTCCCCATACTGCATTTTAAATCATTGCTCCAAAGGTGCAACACTGAATTCTTTTATCAGAACTGCATTGTTTTTAACACAGGCTTGGGTTTGGTTTTTTGGTGTTTTTTTTTTTTTTGGTTTTTTCTTTTTGTTTTGTTTTTTGGGGTTTTGTGTGTATGTGTGCATTTTATTCTGAGGAATATATCTATGACACTTGGTGGTGGGGTTTTTTTAAAAAATCTGACTCAAACTTCTTCTTTACCACCTTCCTACTCTGCCATCCCTGTTGGAGATAATCATCCTTCAGCATACTCATGGAGGTACCAGGTGGGTGGTGCAGATAATTGTGCAATTAAACAGTGATTTGAAAGGAGAAAAATAACTTAAAGACACACTGCAATTATTGAGATTCAAACTGGTGCAAACATTTTATACCATAGCTATAAGCAAATTTTCAGTAATGCATTTCTTTTACTTTACTGGGTATTTGAAGAAGCAAAGCAGTGACATTACAAATCCCCATATGAGTATGTTACCCACACAGTACACACAACTGGAGCCTGAAAAAATTGTCCCAAAATTTCCAAACAAAACATCAGGAACTCTTTATAATATCTTTGTATTTTAATTTGCATTTGAATGATTTTGCAGTAAAATTTAACTAAATAATAAATAAATGGCTACCTAGTTACCTATTATTCAGGTCTGTATTTAATAAAGACTGGGGGCAAAAAAAGAGTTCTTTTCAGTGTTTTAATATGGAAAAATGTATCAAAAAAACTTTACCTAGTTTGACCTAATCTGGCATCTATTTAATAACAGTATTAGATTAGGAGTCTGCTACCCACAGATGAAGCAACTGCACAGTTTAAGATGACATTTAGAGATGTAAAATTTATGTTGCTCTTGCACACCTTTAACTTTGTGTCAAATAATAGAAGAAGATCTTTACACTGTGTTTTAGCTAATATTTAACAGCTCATTGCAGTGAATTATTTTGATCCTCACTGGTTTGATTATAGTAAATGGAATTGTTTGGCATGTATTTCAACATTCACTTTATGTTAAAAAAATCCAAGTCACATGGCTTCAACAGAATAAAAAAACAAAACAAGTGTGTATTCAAATATGTGAATGAAATCTCCTCTCAGTAACAGGGTGTGATAGTCCTGCTAGTGCCAGCACATCCAGATAACATCTTTAAAGTGATTTTAAAATAATGGACAATATTTCTCTAAATAACCATGCTTATGACTAGCCAATTAGTTTAACAAAACAGGTAGCAACTTTTCTTCTTTCAAATGGTAAGTGTGCAATAGCTTTGATGAACAAATAGTAGTTGGATAATTTCCCTTTTCTCTTGTTTTCTTGGAAGTGCTTCTCAGAAAAAAAAACTTACTCCAGAAGCTTTCTCATACATTTCTCCTGCAGGACTACTTGAGTTAGGCATTCTCAGAATGCTCTACTTATGCTAAATTCCCCATAGAAACATTATTCTTCAGGGAGAAGCCATCTTGGACATCAAATACAGTTAAATCCATACTTGTTAAATAATATCTAAGTTTGTTGAATTTGTGGGCCTGAGTACAATTTTCCCACACTGTCTTGGTTAACAGCTGTTAATTGCTATTAACAGTTGTTAACTGTTGATATATCTTGCAGAAAAGAACACATAGATATAGTTAGGTGTTTTTGTTGTTGGTTGTTTTTTTCTTTCTGTAACTATGCTAATATTATCACATTTTTCCTCTAATTCACCTAATTATATTGATTGTTTAAATATAAAACTCTGAGGTCAAATCCAGCTGTTTCCAAAATTTTCTCAATAGTTTCTATAGTTTCAGTTTCTCAAGGGAGGTAAAATCAGTTTTAGAAAATTTATCAAAACATGTCAAACTGACATTTACAAGGTTATTCCATTACAGAAAATGTTCTTATGGAAATTGGGTCCATATTAGGCCATAAGCATTCATATTTCTTTACATTGCAAACCTTGGCTATTTTATAAGAGTGTGAGTACCCACAAAAATCTTCACATTTTGATAACAATTAACTAGTAGATCTATATTAAATATACAGGTAAAAATTTGACATGGTTTCTCAATTTGAGTTAGCAGTATACACAGTGCAATTTCACACTTTTGTTAATATAGCAACAGATACAAATCTAAACTGTTAATTTACCGTTACAGTTTACAAAAATAATTATATTATATGGCCATATTTTACATAATTAAGGGTGTCTGAAATTAAAATTATCTCCAAATGTGTCTTTCAGAGTTTTTAAAATTTTTTTTTTTTCTATTCTAGCTATGCATTCAGTTTTGAAAGAATGTTTCATTGCCATTAGACTTAAGGTCAATAGACCTTTTTGTGTAGTTTCAACTAACTCCTCAGTGCAAAATACTTTAGAGAACATAATGCTGAATTATCTAGAAAAGGAAGGAAAGAATTTTCTTACTCATATTCTCAGTCACACTTTAACTTAGCACTGAGCATGTCTACAAGACTATTTCAAAATCCTCTTTTTGCAAGCAGCTTCAAAAGCTGTTTCATGGAAACAAGAAGCCATCAGAGCTGTGGGAAGGAAATATGTGATTTGTTCTCAGAGCCAAGTGCGGATAACATGTAGACAGATTACAAACCTAGGCAAAAATGCAGTTTTTCAACTTCCCCCAACTGCCTGCCATTCTAGAAGTTTTCAAGAGCAATGCCATTAAAAGCTACTTTGGGGATACCATTGGGTTTTTATTATATAGCAGAGACAGTATCATAAATACTCGTTTAAAAAATTGAAATATAATAATTTTTCCATGCAAAAAATCACTGTCAAATTAAAAATGAATATAAAAAATATAATATTTGGAAATAGTCTTTTCCTGTTCAGAGATTGCATGTTGCAATAGAGGCATAGCTAGTCAATAATTTGCTTGCACAGGCAACCACTCACCATGTGAGAAGAGGGGACGTTACAGACAATATATGCAGTACACAGACAATGTATAAAACTGTGTTCAGAGACTCAGAGCACCCTCTCAAGCAAATACCTATTAATCTAGAACGGTCATGAAAACTCAATAATCTCATCCCCAACAACCTTCTGACATTGTTTTTCTGATGTGTTCTAAAAAACCCAGTTATTTTTCTCTAAATCAAGTCAGTCCAGGAGGGATTATTTGACTGAAGGGATGGAAAAACATTGTGGTACTGAAATTCAAGCAGCCTTTCACAGCTACGTATTTATCTGGGAGGCAGCAAATGAACTTGCACAGTGAGCAAAGGCAGAACATTCCATAAGGCATACACAGGCTGCAGGGATGAGTTTAGATTCTGTTTCAAGGATGACTGGTCTAAAAATCAACATAACATTGCATCCCAAAAGGATTCTGTAATCATCTTTTAAAGAAACAGCACAGAATCTTCAAGTTATTGCCTTCTGTATGAAAATCATATTCTAATGAATCAAGTGAATAGATTTTTTCCATAATTTAAACAGAAATATTAATTAGTTTAATGCAAAAAAGAGGTTGACTTATGATCTACCCTACTTGTGGTGAATATACTTCCTATTCTAGATGATAAACATTTCACTGTTTTTTCATTAGTTTTATTTTTGCCCATTTGAACTTTTTATTCACCAAAATAAATTACAAATCACTTTGAATAGATTTTGGTTTTAATTCCTTTTGATACTTTTTGGTAACATATCTTTGGGAAAAATTAATTAATATTTTAATCTTATGAAATTAAGATATTATAATATTTTGAAAAATATTGTCTTGCATCCCATACTATCATTGATGATCACATTACTTAGGAAATACGGTCTCTTAAGGAGTATTTATCTTTTCTGTTAAATATTGCTAACAAAAAGCCACCAATTTCTCAAATTCTTTGTATTACTGTAAGAAACCCCAAAGATGTGTTTTGATGTCACTTGAAGAATAACCTGTGATAGCTATCTGTAAAAGCATTAACTTCAAATGCAATTCCTATATTCCTCAAGATTACAAAACATATCTGTATTACTCCTTGGTGTATGCAATTATGAAATAAGACAAAAGCTAGCATTATGCCTCTCATTATAAAGGGCAGGAATTTCAAATTGGTGCAAAACAGCTGAAATATTTTTAAAATTGAAGATAATAAATGCTTCCTGTTTTGATTTTCTACCTGAAGACAATGAGGCAGAAAATACCAATAATTTTTTTAATGTAACAAAGTCATTGCCACAATTAATTCAGCTAAATTAACTACATTGTTCAATTATTGCTGCAATTCTTTTTTAGATCATTAAAATTCATAGAGGTTGCTGAAGCTCTGCTTACTGTTTGGGAAGTTCCATTAGGCAAAACATTATTCATAGTCAGATGTGCTTCTAAACACAAAGACTCTGATTTCATACATGCTCTCCTAATAATTTTTTCCTTTTCTTTTTTACCAAGTGTCTCAGAAGGTTGAGCAAAGACAAAAACAGAACACAGTACTAGACTATACTTTTGTTACATATGTTACATATGAACTGCACTGTATCCAAAGGGAGCATTACATTTATACTGAGCTGAAATTATCTACTTTTATGCCTCTTTATGCAGCAGCAGAAACAATCAAGTCTACCAAATTTTTTTTAAAAATATTTGGTACTTAAAGAATTCACTATATAACACACAAAACAAAAATATTTTATATGAAAAAGGACAACTAAACTATTCAAATTTTATATTACACATTTTCTCATAGATTTTTTTAATTCCCTCCTGGCAAACATACACTCACTGGACAGTTTTGTCAGCCTTATGTGCACTGATATTTTGTAATGTATGTCATGCGACCAGTGGATAAAGGAGAAATGCTAATCTCTGGGATTAGGTGTGTAATTTATTTTAGCAAGCTACCATAGTGAAGTTACTCACATTGATGCCTGTAGGCTGCAGCTGTTCCTAATTGCAGCCAGGTACTTACCTCTCTCTGTCTGGGGAGTAGTGGTCGTCCACGGCTCGGTGTCTGTCCATGCGGTTCAGGGTGTTGTAGTGCGCAGGGGTGGATCGAGTCCCTCGCAGTCCCTGATCCACATTCCGACTGAGGATAAAACACATCAGATCCTGAGTTTTTAGTGTGCCTGCATGAGATCCTCTCACTGCTTTGTACAAACAATTATCAGCAATCATGCTGGTAACAAGATATGTTAGCTGAACAGACTTTTCTATACATCTAAAGGAAAATAATTTTAAATCTTAAAGTAAAAAAAAAAGTCTCATTTAGAAAATGGCACCAAGTCCATGATAGGGATAGAGTTCTGGGTTTTGTTCCAATGTGTTTCTTCTGGAAATATAAGGAAAGCTTTTTCATTTCCTTCATTAAAAATGTTAATCTTGCACAACATTTCATTAGTCTTTCCAGACTTCAAGCAAAAATTCATTTCTGATGGAAACATACACTGTAAATCATTTTTCATGAGTTCTTGATTTTGGCTTTACTATAATGTAAACTGTAGTAGGACACAATGGGGACTTGTGGCTGTTACAGTAGAGTGCAGCCTGATGAAAACATGGTCATCTGAATTTAAAAATAGGACTGTATGTGGTACCCACGTAGAGGCTTAGTGCAGGCTTGGGTAAAGATCACCCGTACTAATTGAGACCAAAGCTTTGCCAATCGATTGTTTTGCTCTGTTTATCCATCAATACCTACTCACACACTTTACTTTTTGTGCTCTGTAGAACAAATCCACAAGAATAGGAAAAAAGGAGACAATGGTTAACTGTAATAATTATTGGATAATAAAAACATAATTGTTTTGTATCGAATTCAAAATAACGAATTGGATGCTTCCCTCCACACAAGTTCAAGACCAATAAATTCTTCTGTCTCCTGCCCTTTATTACAATCTGCTCTAGTGTGAGTCTCAATTTCCTTTATTGTTTTGGTTTTGTGTGGCTCAGTTCCCTTTTCCTTTCTTGTCACTTTGTCTGCCCTTTTGGTACCTGTCATATTTACCCTTTGTCATTTACCACTTTCTGACTAATGTTAACTTGTACATGTATCCTTCACTGCTGCTGCCATGACATTATTTATTTCTGCATATAAGTGCTATACAGATGTTGCATTACACATAAATTTTTGCCTTCAGCTCTACCTCATTTGTCATAAAGCATTTTCCGCTCTGGCATTCATGAATCCAAATACTGGGTTTACTCTGGCTAGTAAAGAGTAACAAGAGCAGCAACAAGATCTTGTCAGCTGCGATGAAGTGGGCCTTTGGAGGAGTTTATTAAAAAACTAAATAGAATTGAGGACTGCAAAGTGGTTTCTAAGAAATAACAGCAACTTCTGTGGCCCAAAACCTCCTACCTACAGAGATGTCAGCAGTGGGAAATCTCTGGGCATACAAAATGATCACTGCAGTTTGGACCTCTATAGAGTAGCACATGTATAACAAATTCACCTGATCAGGGTGCAAAATGTGAAAATTCTTATAGATTTCCTGAGTAGAGCTGCATTTTCAGTAGAGCTAAATAAGATATTTCTGTAACCCATAGCTTATACTTCTCTTCTGCAAATCCTCAAACTCTCATAATGCAATTTTCTGAGCTCAACAAGTCCTCAAAGAATTTGTTTGGTATGTGGGCAGGGAAATACTACTCAAATAATGCATTTGATTCTGACATTGTAGGAAACAGCTGCCATAATTTCAAAACCATATTTAAAAATTTAGCTTTAGGAAAGTTAAAAAGCAAGAGATTTTCAACATGTAAAGAAATCCAAGACTACAAGAAAATGAAAAGTGGATTTTTCAACGGTGTTGAACAAGTGTTAATCACCAGCTTGGGTAAAAATTCTGCCAAAAATGCAGACAGTATGCATGTAGGCAGAAAAACATAAAAACACAAACACACACACAAAGAGATTTTGCTCATATTTATGTCTATATCCAAGACAAATAGTGTAGGCAATTACTTAAGCTGAAATCAGTAGATTAAAAATCAGAATAGGCCCCTTTATGTCTACCACTTATGTCTCATTTCAAGTCAGGCTGACTTGGTTTTAGATGGGTTTAGACTTCAAGTAGAAACACACAGTTTCTGCCTCTTAGCTGTATGAGATGATGGGGGATAATTTGAAAGCCTAGTATCTCACTAATGCAAAAGGCTATCATAGAGGCTACATCCATTAGAGGAAATGGTAAGTAAAAACATAATTATTATGAAGCCAAGAAAATTTTAACTTAAAAAAAAAAAGCAAAGATAACAGAAGGGAAAGCAGAACAAAAGAGAATTAGGATTTCTGAAAGAAAGGGAGATGAACATGGACCTGCCAGAAAGTATTGGATAACAGATCTTCAGTATCAAAGGGGAATTGTGAACATTATGGGCAAAACAGAAAACTTCCACTTTCATTTCAACTGAATTACATCATCTGGAAACCTACCCATACACAGCAACAAAAGGGCTGGAAAACAGGTTTCATTCCCATTTACATCTATCTCTCTGCTTCCTTTCTCTTAAGAAAGCTTATCCTGCAGAGTACTAAATGAATTATTACATGTTATCCAAAAGTACCAGATTGTTGGAAGAAATTTCCTGGTCTAATTTTCTCAAGATAAATACTTATCAGAGATCTCCCAAGACCAGGAGTTCATACCTTTCACTATAAAATTGTATGTCTGTCAGTTTATTCTTGGTGATTTAGAAGTATGAAAGAAATAGTAGAAAGGAAGCTACTCTGGGCAGCAAGGGAGGCTCCCCAGAATCCTAATTCTACAGAAACAAAAGGGTTGAAAATATCCACTGTCATATGAATGCTAAAGTAATGTCAAACTATCACATACTATAAAACATGGCACCTGTAAATAGCTCTAGGAAATGAAAATGTGGAGATATTTTTATTTCCTTAGATTGGACTGTACTGAATTTTGATGAAAAACGAGATATAAATAGGCAGAAGTAAGATACAATTGTGAAATCATATAAGAATATTAAATAATATAATAAAAATAAACCATAAGTAACATAAAATTAAATATAAATTAGGCACATGACTATAATGTAAAAAAAATATTATTGGCTTTATATAATTATATAATTATATAGTTTTGTAAGATCTAACCAATTCATTTTCGAAATTCTGGAGATTATTTCCAGTATTGGTACAAGATGAATAACAGTTTAATTTATTTAGCTGCATAGTTTAACAAGAGTTTACCTTTGAGGGGGAGGGACACTGGGAGACCACGATCTAGTCCGTCCTATACTATCTCCACGGTGAGGGGACCCTGATCGAGAACAATGATTAGATGACATTACTTGCTCAGGCACTGACAGTGTTGAACTTTGAAGATCTCTCCCGTTATGTCGGTAATCTAAAAAGAAATGTAAATATTCAGTGAATCTGAAGTTGCACTTTCCCACTTCCTGCCGTATCTGTAGTAATGAGTTTCTCAGTAAAAGATAGGATTTGATCAAGAATGTTATAGTGTGTTCTTGGGTTTTATAATAAAATATACATATGTAAGTTGACTCCTGCTGTTATGCTTTTTTTAAGTACAATTACAGTTCCTATAGTTATACTTCAAAAGTATAGGAATTAATACCATGCACCAAACTGGGGACTTACCATTTATGGTTAATACAATGTATTAATAATAAAACAAATTAAACTGATTTTTTCTTAGAATAAAAAACCTAATTGTTGCATTTTTAATTAAAATTATATTTCAAATGTTGTGTAAAATGTTTTTCAAATAGAAATGTCCATAATAAAAAATTAATCCAAAATTTAGTTTAAAAATTTGGGATAGGAAGCCACTATGGAGTTAAATAGTGAGATTGAGTTCAAGAAAGATTTGTATTTCAGAAATATTTAAGGTAACAATGACTCAATGATATCAGATTTCACTCACAACTCTGAATTAAAAAACACAGTTTCTTCACAAATAGCTAGCACCCTGGACTAATCTTGAATAAGCCTAAGAGAAGGCATAAATGGTCTAAGCAAAAGCCTCCAAGTTACACTGGCCTAAAAGGCTACCACATGGACAGTTAACACAAGCTTTTAATAAAAATCTTTTTAAAAGCTGTGTGTGTTAAAAATTATGGTCTTCATGTAATTGAAAAAGTTGAATTCACTGTCCCATGGTGCAATACTCTCTGTGGAAAAAAAAAAATACTACATATACAGCAATTTCAAGTAAGTTTCCCCAAATTTTGTGATGATGAAAGTAAAACATAATGATAGGAAATTGAAGATTTGCAATTGGTAACCTGATTATAACATTTAACAAGAATAGGTCTTCAGAGAGTTCCTGGTGGCTATGACAACTGATAGAACTGATTTCTTTGTTCCAAAGACAGTAACCAAAAAAAGAATACTTAGAGAGATCCACCCGGCACTGGAAAAATTCTGGCTCATGCAACTGTTAAACTTTTCCCATGAGAATCTTCCAAGAGTAGAATAATCTTCTGCTCATGATTTTCTTATTTTTCTTCCTGGAAAATGTTCATTAGAACCTAAACAAAACCTTATTAATTCATTCCACTTTATGGTTCCAAGTATGTTCAATACTTTCACCTGAGTACTCATATTTACTATATGGCCTTACAACCAAGGATATATATAAACAATTCTAATTCGTAAACAACTTCTTCCTTCTATGTTTAGTATAAATGGCTTTGTATGTATCTGGCATGTGTACTAAAGGGGAAAAAAAAAGCACATCACCCTTACATTCCACTAATATAATGATGCTGAGGATGACATAGTCTCTCCTCACTACATCACAGTCAAATCATGTTATGAGTACCTTCAGCTAAGAGTCAGTACTGCAATACCAACTTTTATCTTATATGCAAAGTAAATTTATTATTATAAGTACTGAAAAAATATATAGGGGCCAGTGGAACATAATTCTGAGATCATCAAAGGCAAGATGGGAAATTTTATGTGTGTTTGAAACGCTGTTATTCACTCACTAGTAAAATGTAGGAGATAATTTAATTTTTTGCAATTTGGAAATCAATACACTCTGCAATTCTGCAATTCTTTAAGTAAAAGGTAAAGTAACAGTAGTGAAGAGCCCACCCTGCAGCAGACTCCTGGCAGGACCTGTGGAGAGAGAAGCCCCCCCTGGAGCAGGTTTGCTGGCAGGACTTGTGACCCAGCCTGGAGCAGTGTGAGGGGCTGCGCCCGATGGAGGGATCATGCTGGAGCAGTTTGTGAAGAACTGCAGCCCATGGGATGAACTGACACTGGGGGGGTTCATGGGGGACTGTCTCCCATGAGAGGAACCTCCCTCTGGAGCAGAGGGATAGAGTGAAGGGAGGAAGGAGCAGCAGAGACAATGTGTGATGAAGGAACTGCAACCCCCATTCCCATCTCCCTGTGAGCTGAGAGGGAGCAGGTCGGGAACCAGGGGTGAAGCTGAGACCAGAGAGAAGGAAAGGATAGCGGCAAAGCTTTGAAGTTTCAGGGGCTTATTTTCTCATTATGCTACTCTGATTTTATTTGCCACAAAATAATATCTCTGAGTTGTCTGTTTTGCCCACAGCCAGAACAAGGAGTCATCTCTTCCTGGCCCTATCTCCACCCACAAGTCTTCTGCTGTATTTCCTCTCCCGTTTCCAGCTTGTGAGGGCAGTGATGGAGCAGTTTTGGCAGCCACTTGGAACCTAGCCAGAGTCAATCCACCACACATAAATGAGCAGCAAGTTATTATAAACTTCTAGATATTGAAATAAAAAAACATTTACAGTACAAGAACAGAAAGAAATATTGTCTTATTATCCTAATAATGCATATCTATTGACAGAAAAGATAGACATAGTGTATCTAGATAGACTATCTCTATCTTTTCTGTCAATAGATCTCCTTGCATACACAAGTAGAATTTGTTGAATTTGGAGATGAAAAGCAATGTAGAGTAGTAACATGAAGAAATAGGTAAATCCTTTGAAAAAATCAGTAGTTTATATAATATTTGGTATGTACAGACATCAAAGTATGAGGGGAATGAGCAATACTGTAAGATTTTCTAGGTGAATAAACATAATGAAGGGAAAAGTAATCCATTAACAAAACACAAACAAAAACCGCTTTTAAAATTCTAAAAAATGCTTAAAAAGTTTAAAAAATTCCTAGAAGTGAGAACAAGTAAATCAAAATTATTGAATTTATTACATATGCACACAGAAACAAATTAATTACTTTGGAACAAAAAGCCTCTTCCAGCTCTAATTTGTTATTGCAGTTGACCAAATGAGCAGTATTGTTGCAATAAATCAAAATATATAACTTTGTAATTAATTGTCAAGTCTAATCCTGATCAAATATGTGCTTTACATTAATTTTGAGGTAGTCATGCAGTGCTTTCTGGTAACTAACACTGGTACTGCTTCCTTATAACAATAACAAAGGCAGAAACAACCAGCATTCCTAGCAATTTTGCTAAATCTTGATAAACTTTTGCTACATTTTTTGAAGAAAACTAGAGGTGTTTAGCTGTGATCAAAAAAATAGATTAATGTTGTCTAATAATATTGTTACAAAAAAAAAATTGACATTTATAATCCATTTACCTAAAACAAAAATAATTATATTTACAAACTCCTCTTTTTCCAACAGGCCACACATTGAAAAGCAACTGTTTAAGTAAGACAACCCACCAACATGGGTTAATGAGGTAATTTCAAAGTTATCCTGCAGTTTTGTAGAGTTAATGTAGCTCTGATTTAACTGCCTGTACTGTAGGTAATTTACCTTCCAATTTCAAAAACTATTGCACATCCTGAAAATAAGATTAGAGAAGTTAAGTAAAAAACATTTTCTTGTGAAAAGAAATTATAGACAGAAAAGACAGGTCATAAGGGCAGCTTGACCAATGAGTTGCTATTGAGCAAAGGAGATATTTATAGCAGTAGTAAAAATAGGATAAACATTATCCTGCTTGCAGCTATAAATATTGAGTCATTACCATAGAATCAAAGGCTCTGTAACTATGGCAAGCTTCTTAAATCAACATAGAGAGTACACAGAACCTGATAATCAGTGTAGACATAATCAGTGGTAAACAACTGTGAGCTGCAGACACCTAAAAGACAGACACATGACAAGGATAACTGCAATGCCACCACCTTCTTCTGTCATGGGAAGGTCTCTTTAAAAACTGATACATGTGAAAAGAGGGATTTTACAAAGCACACTAAATACAGCTTCTTCAGACCTGAAGTTTTAGTTTTATCTGATTTAAGAGAGACTATTAATATATTTGACTTAAAATATTAATCTACACAGTATGTACTGTGCTAATATTATGCTATGCTGGTTACATATTCAGTAAATACTGACAATTGAATTGTTATTAAATTATGAATCTTTCAGGTCCAAAATTGCAGAAAATCACAAACTTCCAAATATTAGGTTCATATCAACAGCCCTAAAATAGGCCTAAAAAGAATTAACTGAAGTATATTAATGTAAGATTTTAATTTAAATCTTGCTGCTTGATTTTACTTGAAAGAAACTCTTAGCATGAAAATTGTTCTAGAAAGGCAGTACTAGAATGGCTGCTCATCATAGGCAATGTAATTGACTTGCTTCTGACACTGATGTTAAGTGGTGTTTTCTCCACTTTAACATCTGTATTTGATTGAAGCATCAAGCTTTCAGATATTTAACTTTTTAATACTCACAGTGGTTGGGCTTTGAACAAGCACTAATTAAAAACAATTATATAATCAAACTGCCAGAAATGCTTAACATACCAACATTTCACATATGGGCACTTTAGAGAGAGTTCAGTTCTTTCATACAAATGTGCTCGGCTTCTGGGATGATTTGCACATCTAAATGAAGATTTTAGATGTTCTCAAAAAACAATTGCTGACAGTCACTGATCAAATAAATTGAATTATTGATATTTGAATGCTTTATAAGTTGAAGATACATTATGGATTGCTTTGGGAAATTTTTCTGTATTAAATATTATTCTGAAAACATAGGAAGGATGAATGTACAGTGAAAGGAATCAGTAAACATTACAGAAGGAATAACTGGTTACTTGCTGCATAGCAACTCAGTTCCTCACAGGTATATTTAGCTCTCCAGCACTAACAGTATTTATGGGCCCATTACACTTAAGACAATTCTTTTCTTATGGAAAAGCATTCCCACACAGTCACTAGAGCTAGCTGAGTTTTCAGTGCTGTTCCTATACCCAGCATGACATGAAAAGCTTGGTGGGGGGGGAAATACCTAAACCACCACAGGCACTAAAAAGATGTTTCTCCCCAGTTGAGCATTCATCCATGTATATTTGCATCTGTCCAGTAAGTCCCTCAAATTAGCCTCCTCTTCACACTGTTGATT